TAATAGCGAGAAAAATTTAAAATGCATACATGACCTGAATGTGACCACGGTGTTCACAGTGCCCACCGAATTGAATTTTATTATTAAATATAATGACAAATACGACAAAACTTATCTCAAAAGTCTGAGAGACGTGTTGAGTGGCGGCGCTGTCCTCACAGGGAATACCTATCGGAAAGTTTGCCAATTGTATGATTTTCAACGTTTCAGAAACCGTTAGTTTAATATCATTTAATTTCATTTATACACACATTAATAGCTTTTTTAATTTCACAGCAATACGTACTCATAAACAATAATATGAGTGAATTTGTATACTGTATTTATAATGTGGCATATAATTAAACATTGTTTTTATATATAGACTACGGTTTGTCAGAGTGTGGTTGGGTGACCAATGTCTATTTGAGTGAAAGTAAAACGATTACCAATTATGAAACCATTGGGAAAGTGAACCCCGGGATTGAGATCAAGATTATAGACAGTGAGGGCCAGTCATTACCCAGGGATACAACCGGACAGATATGTATCCGTGGAGATAATGTACGTGTGAATTGTTATAATTATAATTATGAGTAATAAAGTATTGTATAAATTATTACATAACTCTAAGCTATCATGTTATATGTTAATATCATATGTTAGGTGACCCCTGGATACCTTGGTTATTCCGGTGATTTCAAAGCGGAACACCTGACTAGTGATGGCTTTTTCAAGACGGGAGACCTGGGATACTATGACTCAAATGATTATTTCTATTTTGTTGGCCGCAGTAAAGATATCATCAAATATAACAGTTTTGTTGAAAAACTTTTAATTATTTTAATAGAAATAATGTATTGATTTTGAAATTAAAGGTATACTCATATCTCCCGTGGAATTGGAGAATATTCTGGTGACACACGAGTCGGTAGTGAATGCGGCGGTCATTGGTGTCGATGACTCAGAGGACGGGGAGGTGCCCATGGGTTTTGTCACCGTCAGGGATGGCTGTGCTGTTGGGGAACAGGAGCTCATAGATTATGTGAATAAACGGGTCAATAATATCAAGCAAATAAGAGGTGGGGTGCGAATTTTGAAGACTATGCCAATGACTTCTAGTGGCAAAATTAGCAAGGTTGCTTTGAGGAAAATGGTTAAAAATAACATAAATGGTATAAATGATACAGTTAAAGGTTAAACAAGTTTTTAAAAAGTAACCCGTATCAATAACATTATATTGTAGTAAAATAGTATACAATATTAAGTATAATATAATTTAATTAATCACAATATTATAAAAATTATAATCTTTATTTTAATACAAGTTTTTTTTATAATTGTCACCATACTGCTCGTAAACTATATGTTTAACAATTTCAAATTTTTTGCACTTTTAACAAACTATAATATATTATCATTAGATGATTATAAAAATTTCAATGCAAGTGCAGTATTTTTTTAAGTATAAATATTTGTATTTTGAACGTAAAAGTGGCATTGACCTATAAAAATAATCAATTACAATTTTTTAATTAAATAATAAGCAATAAATACTGCAATATTATTATAAATTTAATTCTAATTGAAAACATATTTGAGTTATTTTGTATAAAATTACATTATGTTTACTTTATGTTTACGATTATTAGTATAATCATGATTTGTATTTTTGAAAAATAAATTTATATTTGATTTATTAAAATAAGTTCTGTATATTAAAAATCATTATTAGATGAAAATTGTGTTTTAATTATTACAGTATTTTTACAATGAATTGTAATTTGTTTTTGCGAATTATATTTATTAAATCTAAATTATTGTTTTTATTTTAGGCATAATGGATATCTTATTGATTAAAATGATGCTATCATTAATAACTGGAATATTTTAATGCGATTATAATGATGGATTCAAATGTATTAGGCAAGTAGTGGCTAAAGCAATCAGGTAAGTTATAGTTTGAGATTATTGTTAATTATGGAAATTACATAATAATTTAAGCTATAAACATCGTGTGTTTATTAACACAAAGTTTAAAAGTTTACTACTATAATATTTTGTATACAGTATTTACTTATTGAATAAGCTTTATATGAAAATTTGAAATTTTCTTAAAATATTCAGAATGTACGCCAAATCTGATGATTTGCCGGAAATAGTGGACCAAAGGTTAACAGAAATGTTGATAAAAATTAAGGACAACAATGGCTTTGAGGACGCGATTAATATAAGGCATTATGTTTACAATTTATTTGCCAACATAATGGGCACTATTTTATTCAACCAAGAGTAAATACAATATATTAGTATAAACAATGAATTAATAAAGTCAAACTATAAAATAATATTTATACCTAGATTCAATATCGACTTGCAAGGATTGAATAAATTCAAATATTTTACAGCGGATCACTTAAAAAACTTAGGGATTCAATATAAATTGACTGAGATAATCCCACAATTACGTTATATCATCGGGGACCCTTTAGTTTTGTACAGAAATTATTTTACAGATTTAAGCAGATACGCTCAGGGTATTTATGAAACCCATGAGTGTACTTACAATAATAAAGTAATGAAACATTTTTGTGGAGTAATTATAGCCGCAAAAAACTTATTTAACCAAAAGTGTAATGAGTCAGCCAAGTATTTTAACCACGATAATATGTCCACGGTCTTAATTGAACTTTTTATAGGTAAGACATAAATATATAAATAACACAGGTAATATAATTTCTTGAAATATAGCGGGTGTCGAGACATCAGATATTACTTTTCAATGGATGCTATTATTTACAGCTTATTATCCGGAATTACAGAATAAATTGCAAGATGAAATTGCTAGAGTACTTGGGGATAGTATGCCACACGTTAATGATCAGTCTAGGTTAACTTATGTACTGGCATACATTAGTGAGACATTACGTTACCGGTCACCATTAGTGTTTACTCTACCTCATAGAGCATTGAATCATGTTCAATTTGGTACTCATTTATTTTTAATAATTCAAATTATTAATTACAATAATAAGCTTATGTTTAGCAAATATAATTATATATTAAATATATTAGCACTGGATTTATCATAAATATAATAAGCCTAATATTTTAGGCTCTTGTAAAATAAAATATCAATATATTTAAGTTAGATTTAAAATAAAATAAAATTTTAATATTTTATATAGGTAACAGATATAATATTCCAACTGACACCATGGTCATTGTAAACTTAAATTGTATGTTAATGGATGAAAATGTGTGGAGCCAACCAAAACAATTTAACCCGGATAGATTTATAAATGTCCATGGTGATTTTTGTAAAATAAATGCCAACGCGTTTATGCCGTTCGGAACGGGACGTCGAATCTGTGTGGGCGAGCAATTGGGCATGAACGACCTATTTCTCACATTGGTCAGATTTCTGCAGTTGACCAAGGACTATCGTATAGAATTAGCCAGTGATAGATTTACTATTGAGCCAGATCCTAAAGGTCTGATATTTCAGTTTCCATCAGATTTTGAAGTTGTATTTAAACGAATTAAATGAGTAAGGTATGCTTAGTAAGTTTAATATGAAGTTTGTAATTTCAAAAAGTGTTTTACAACTTTTGATACTTTATCAAGAACAATTCATTAAACATATAACATACAGTACACAAGAGATAGATACAAATATCTATTGATTTATCTTTTCAATTAATATTACCGGTATATAGTTTTCAGCAAGCATTTTATTAGTTTTATGTAACATTAAATATTGTAACCTTTTATTTACAACATATTGATTGTTAGCACTATTATTGCAAATACAAATAGAAATTAATACATTTAATTTCACAAATTATGATAAATAATATTCAATTTAATAAAAATATAAATTTATTAATGATAGATATGTTCATTTCAAAAATGTTTTTGTAAGATTAAAACTATTAATATATTAGAAATTAATACATTTAATTTCACAAATTATGATAAATAATATTCAATTTAATAAAAATATAAATTTATTAATGATAGATATGTTCATTTCAAAAATGTTTTTGTAAGATTAAAACTATTAATATATAAAAATTATCTGTAAATTAACATATATTTGTTTAATAATCAAAATATTATTAAGTGCATTTAAATTAAATTTTATAAAATACAATATTAACTTCACTATTATTATTTATAATATTAGCAATTATTGTTATAGACCAAGTTTCTTTTTAAAAATCGTTTTGATCATCCATAGAAAAACCAATTATAATTTTTTATATAAAATAATTCAGTATAAATTTTATATTCTATATAAATTCTATAAAATATCTAATTATAAAATCCAAAATAAGCAAAATTATATATGAAATAAGTATAATAAATAAAATTGGACACAAGGCCTTATACTGTACTAGAATTTCACTTAAGTTTACAATAAATAACACATGATTTTTTATAACGATAAGTTCATAGATAATGGTAAATACCTGTCATTCAATTTGCCTGACAAGTGTTTATACAAATATTTTTTAGTAATACGAAACAAAACTAAAAACTTTGTTTTAATGTGAGGTTACTAGTATTATTATAAACACACAGATAATAATTAAGCAAAGTTGATAGGGTACTTTTTGTATTTCTTAAAAATCTAGTATATTAAACATTTTAAGTCTCAGTTCATTGAAAAGTATTTTAATTTATATTTAATTTTGCCATGTATGTTGTTTGTTTATCAGTTTGTGCACTGATTATGCACTCCATATACAGTACTGTACAAATTTTATCTGTAATACACTCACAAGTAAATTAAGTTGAAATAGTGTAGCTGATACTGTACTAGACTAGGTACTTAATCATATAATTCATAAAGTTTGTAATGATTTTTCAAAAGATATTAACACCCTTGAATAGTTTTTGATACTGTACTCATAGTGTCTATCCTCTCTTAATCAGCCCGTACATGCTATTTGAATAGCCCCTAAAAATTATCATATAACTTATATGATATAAGTCTTGGCCCACAAATTAAACAAATCATTTACACTTTCAGTTATAGTGAAAGAAACGTGTTTTCATAAGTATTTTTAAAAACACACTAAATATTTTATATTTTTAAAATTTATAGTTATTTATTCTCATTATAAGTGTTTAAATAAGTTTTATTAATTTTATCAGAAATAATTAATTGAAGTTATAAATAATTTCTTTTGCAAAATAAATATTTCGTCCAAAAAATGGCCCAAAAACTGAAAGTCCTATTCGTTCCGATCGACGCCATCGGACACGTGAATTCAGCCATAGGTATAGCACAGGTACTACTGGACGCCGGACACCAGTGCCTGTTCGCCATAAACATCCAATGGAAGGGTCGGCTCACAAAGTACGGCATCGATGAGGTGCTCATCGCACAGGACGACAGGCCCACTGATGTAGACCCGGCTCAACACTGGGCCGACCTGTTTGTGAACGGGGGCGGCATTAAAGACACGACACCTTTGGAAACGGCGATCAATATTAGGACGAAACTAATGGCACAATTCACCGAAGAGACGAAGGGCTTGGATGTGATAGTGGACGGGCTGTTGAAGGTATATGCTGGTCTACACCACTAGCACCTAGTCCACGACACGTATGGCCGCGACCTCAATAGTCCGTATGGTACCCACCGGTGTACATCAAAGTTAGGTGACAAAAAGTATGGCCTACTCGCGTGTGGTCCTTATATGTCAGGTACTGGTGATTGGCCTTTGAATTAAAATTAATTATTTTAAATATTTTAGTAATCAATATTAAAAATGAAATCTAGTATAATAATGAAAGTTAATTAATATGAAATAGTATTTTACTAATATTACTGATTTAAAAATAATTATTTAGTTTTTATATACTTTAAATTATTTCATTGTTAGCTGATAAATATAATATTTTTATTATAATATTATAAACTAATTAAACAGTTAATAATTTAGATATTTATAAATAATTTACTATTTAATATGATTAGGTTTATCGATAACTAGCCCTAAAAGCGAGTGGAAAGTCTTCAAGGATGCCATAAACTCAGCTGAATATCCTAATTGGAAATTATTTAACGATTGGGTGGTATCTCGTGGTATACCCTCTCTGAAGGCCAATCGGTTTAATAGGGACTCAAAGTATTTAAATATTTATGGCTATCCACTGGAGTTGGATTACCTGGACATCAGAGAATTGCCTCCGAAGTGGTATAGATTTGATAATCTTAAAC